TTACAAATAGTGTTGGCTCAGCACTCAAACAGTGTGTTATAACACAACTAGAAGTGTTGATCTACACTAATACAGTGTAAAATTCCCAGTAGTGTAAATTTACGTGACTTTGGTGTGCACACAGCTGCAATGGGTTTTACACATATTCAGTGTCATTATTACCCTTTTTTAGTGTAACAAAAACACCAGAACAGTGTAAAAGAGACATATTTTTGGTGTATTTTAACACCAAAATTAGGTTACGTTAACCCAATTTTGGTTTTATTCAACACCAATATAGAGAAAATATACACCAAATCAGTGTTGCTGTAACACTGGAAAGGTGTTTTTAAACGTATTCAGGATCGTATGTAGGTCATATTTACACCATTTTGGTGTAAATATACACGACGGTAATGTTAACTGAACACCTATTTGGTGTCCACACAGCTGCAAGAATTTACACTTTTTTAGTGTTACCATGACACCTCGATTTTGCTGTGACGTGCCCATTGTTATAACTTAGGGAAAAAGTGCTTTCCTCCATACTAATGAGGGTCTTCCTGTATACTAATTCGGTATAGGTTTACTAATGAGCGTCTCTCTACTTCAATAGAAACAATAGGCTTGCCTTGCCTTTTCCCTGATGAAATAGATTCTGCACGATATCAGATTGCGATGATGAGAGCCACGCCAGTAAAAAGGTTCACAATTCGCTTCTCTTTACCGGCGTCAATCATCTGATCATCAAACACGATCAAATTCCGTTTGTTCACATCAAAATAGGAATCCTGCTCCAAAGCCGTAGGAATTCCCTTGACGAATTCAATGTGTGGCATGGCGATTAACATTTGTGTATACCCAGGCTGCCATTGTGAATAACACCAAACGATCCTCTCCGGGGGAGGGTAAATGGTCCCTGAAGCTTGTTGCAATAGAGATCGAACCCAGGCCGTTTTTCCGGACCCGGTCATTCCGGCAATCATGGAGGTGAAAGGATGCTCGAAGCGAAACCGCTAACATTGCTGTGAAAACATCGGAGCTGTTTGAAATAGGGTGAGACCAGCATTGCGGTGTTTAGACATCACGTGCCTTTGCATACTATCTTTTCTACTAAAGGATTTTTAGCAGACAGAACAGAACCAACTCATGTCAACTCCTCAGGAGCAAAATGTAGACTGAGAAAGAGGTAGAATGTCTCGCATTTATATAGCTTTTCAGGCCATAAAATTCAATTGTTTTCCTCCCCCAAGACCATTACCACCACAGTTCAATTTTTTTCCCTCCACCACCACCACCGCCACCACATTTCTATTGTTTTCCCTCCACCACTACCACTACCACCACAACATTCATAGTTGGACTAGTCTTCATCTTGTGGAATGGGCTGCTCTTGATACAGTCGATTGAGTAAGAATTTTTGCTTAGCGATCGCTAGTTCCGTCGATTCCAATTCGAATCCTTCAGGTTTCAATCACTTTTTTGAAGGTCCATGTGGGGTCAATGTGGGGTCGATGTAGCGTCGATGTGGGGTCGATGTATGGTCGATGTGGGGTCGATGTAGGGTCGATGTAGGGTCGATGTGGGGTCGATGTGGGGTCGATGTGAGATCGATGTAGGGTCGATGTGGGGTCGATAAGGGGTCGATGTAAAATCGATAATTATAAACGAAGGAGAACGCTTAATAAACCCGCCCTCACCAATTTTCTATAAAAGAGGCGCGTTGCTCTTTGAAGTTTTGTCTCCTATCAGAACGCCTGCGGTTCAAACAAAAGATGACGAGCACAGGCTATACCTTATACCTTCAACAAGGTGCTGGAAAATGTGAAGACAGCGAAGAAAGCGATTTTTTTCCTAGAAAGCGAAGTCTCTAGCCAAGAAACAGAGTCTTCCCAAGAAGAAACAGAAAACTTAGCGCCTTGGTTACGCATTCTTGATGAAGCCGAGAAACGCCATGAAATCCAGCTCAACGCATTGATTAATGAGTACGAAGGGGACGGATATTCAGAAAGTGTGGCCCGCGTGAAAGCCGAGAACGCTCTTCTTCCTGTTTACAGAAAAGAGCTAAGAAAAGTACTCTTAGAGAATCTACAGTGGATGCGTGCAATGAAAAAAGACCCCACCTTAATAAAAAGTGACTGAAACCCAAAAAGAACTAATAGACACAGAAGGATTCGATTGTTTGAAATCGACAGAACTAGCGATCGATAAGCGAAAATTCTTACTCAATCGACTGTATCAAAAACAGCCCATTCCACAAGATGAAGACTAGTCCAACTATGAATGTTATAGAATTATTTTTTTTTCCTGGCCCCAATTGTTCAAAAGGTGGATAGCGCTATCCACTGGATAAAACACTATCCAACGGATAGCGCTATTGGTTTTCGTAATACTTATCCTGTGGATAGCGATTTACCGGTGGATAGCGCTATCCAACCTTTGAACAACTGGGGCTAGGACCTTTGTATTATTGCGTTTCAATAAAAGCTGTAAACAACCAAACTTTAAGAGTGTTTTATTGCTGACTTGAAAATAATAACAATAATAGTAAACTTGTACAATAAATAAAAAAATCTGAAATTTGAAATACCAATTACTATTCTTGGTTTTCTGTGTTAGAGTACGCTTAAATTTCTAAGCTTTTGCGTGATTAGCGACGCGCGACACCCACGCGTGTCTCTGAGAAAAAATAAAGACAGATGGATGACTAGAAATGGCCCGTTTGTCTTGATTTGTCCCTTAGAAAATAGAGTTGTCAGCTCAACCAGGAGCCGATTACGGCTCCTGGCTCCGCTTTGTGTAAATGTGTTTTGTTTATATATATCCGAGTTTTAGAGCTAAATAAGAAGACATAAACTAAATTGAAATAAAGACTTTTCAACTCTACTTTGTGTATGTGTTTTGTTTATACGTCTGAGTTTTAGCGCTAAATAAGATATAGGAAGCCGTTTCTCGCGTTGCTAGGTGATCGCTTCTCTTATTCCTATTTCTCTTTTAATAGACGGTCTGAAAACCGAGCTCAAGTTACTTACCGGGCGAGCCCAGGCAAGGCTATTGTTTCTATTGAAGTAGAGAGACGCTCATTAGTAAACCTATACCGAATTAGTATGCAGGAAGACCCTCATTAGTATGGAGGAAGGCACTTTTTCCCTAGGTTATAACAATGGGTGACGTCACGGACTCGACCGTTATACGTACTAATGAAGGGAAGGCATACGGAAGGCAGAGGAAGGCACCAACGGGGTTAAGTTTCAACATAGTAGACTACTGCTCACCCTTGTGAGATCAGGGTAGTTTTATAATTTACATTTCGAACATAAAATCCATATCTTCTCGCCACAATCAAGTATCCTATTTGAATGTATGTATTAAAGATTTTAACAAATATTTTGAGTTCGATTCTTACAATTATTTATTAATTACCTTCATATGTTTTAACCCACCCTTTAGAGGTTTCTCTGTGCACGTCTTTGATCTACACTCCAAGTTGTCGTAAATGCAGAGGATGGCGCTTACGAACTACCTCAGACGGTTGCAGCTGTATCGCTGGTCATGTGGCCATAATCAACGATACAGAGAAACTGGGCTTGGTACAAAGCAAAATTAATAGCCTATCCACTTTGAGTAATGAAGCTTTTTGGATTGGAGTCATGAGGTAAGTAAAATATATCATGCGTAATTGAACAAATATGTTTTCATAATTTATCAAAGATTCCAGTCAGAATGAACTAAGTTGATTACCCCCATTATTATACATTGTAGTCACCATCTGTCTTCTCATTGGCTAAAAGCCTACAGTTAATTCTGGGAAACAGCGCAACCTACAGATTATTCACTAATCTGTAGGTACAGATTAGTGAATAATCTGTGGGTTGCGCGCGCAATGCATGATTTCCAAGAGCAATGTCAAGTGCACGGACAGCAATGTCCATTCTCGTCCCCAGAGCCACTCGGCTTAATTTGTAACCGACCAGTGGCTCTGGACGCAACGGAAAATACGAATTTTTTCATTGGCTGAAGGCAACTGAATGCGCAAAGCAAATTAAAAATATAACTAATAACTAAATAAACTATAACTAAATATAACTGCACATAACATTTTACTTCGTGCCTGCAAACATGAAATGCGTGTCTGAGTTTCGTTGACTGCGACAATCCTGGTTTGTTTATATGCAATAGCAGTGAAGAAGAGAGTTGCAGGTAAAGTTTGAGAAGTTTCTACGAAGACAACGAGCCTTGACAAAGAAAGTATTGCCTTCGTTGTGCCCTAAACTTTGCCGACCGTCGCATCTCTTGGGAAACTGAAAGGAGGAGTAATGGTTAGTTAGCTCTTGCTGTTGCTCCTTGCTCGTTAAAAATCAAGCGATTGATACTGTACTTGTATGGCGTTATTAATTAGTCTAATCAGTTTTCTAATTCCTCTGGATATTCCTCGGTGCTACAGTAGGAAAGAAAATCAAGCTTCGACTACTTTACAGAAATGATATGTACGTTAAGTTTATTGCAGTGTGCTTTTAATTTATTGTATTTTCTGCTGAAAGAACATCTCCTTTGCTATACTAACGTCAAGATAATATTTTGTTATATGCCTTTATTTCATTAGACCACTGATGGCAGTGCACAAAGCCAGAACTGAATTGCTTATGACTCATTTTGGGCTGCATGCAAAAGGCAATTGTTTTATTGTGTAAAGATGATAGAGCAAGTACTCTTTCCACAGTTTCCAATCCACGTTTTCTTCCACTTAATTAATGCTTAAATCATGCTTAGATAATTTGGAGGCTTTCTTTTAATTTTTATTTTAACAGTAAGAATTGGGCTGTGAAAGGAAAGGCTATGTGGCCGACTTCTTGTAACAAATGTTTTGCAAGAAGATATTCTCATCCTAACCGTCCTTGCTTGGCTTCCAGTCGTGTGGCATTTAGACAAAGATAAACAAGGGGCTCTGGGGTCATTTATTACTGATGAACAGTTAACAAAGAAGCAGATTTTGCACAATATTTCTTGATAAATAATTATGTTATCTGATCACTACACAAGGTAGCACAATGTTCTCAACCTTTTTGGTTTAAGAATTCTAAAATACAAGAAAACTTGACTGTTTATACTAGGCATACATAATGTGAAAACTGGTCTAGATTTTTTGACGATGTCAGGGACAACTGAGGTGTTATGAATAAAATGATAAATGAACATCAGCCTAAAATAGTCTATTTTGTATCATACTGGGGTAAGTGATTGTTGACGATAACAACTGAATTTTGCAGTATGTCACCTTTGATAGGGTGGATAACATTATAGCTTGATCAACAGTAATATCATAGTTTACTTGCCAATCCTAACCACACCTGCTCTCCACCCCTCGTTGAGCTTGCACACAGCATTGGCTTACTGAAGCATAGGGCATCTCAGTTTACTAGGTTACTGACAAAATGATGAGCCTAATTGAAACTTGCTTTCACTGGTCAAAGACTCAGTTCTGGTTCAACCTTTTTCCTAGTTGGAGGCCTCATGTTATAACACAAAATAATGAATTTTAAGGGAACTAAAAAATTATACATTATCAAAACCTGTGAGCAGATATTGTACTTTAACTCTATAAAGCACCACATTCAGTTTCAATACAACTGCAGAGGGTGGGGATTGGGGGTTGGGCACTATCCCCCAAAAATCAGTTCAGATTCACCCCACAGTATGCTTCTTGCCTTGCCAAATTTTGACCAAACTATGTGATTTTCACTATCCTATTTCAGGCCTGATCCAAATTTCTATCCAAAATTTCAAACCTTGCAGGTCTTGCACTCCAGTTTCAAAACATGATGAGAGCAGCTACCCAAGAAAATGCTTTTGGGTTGTGTGTTACTCAAAGTGTACTTCTTAAAGGGGGGGTCTCTTAAAGCATACAGTCCATATACAGTGCATATATCACTCTACATTTCACTGTTCCAGATAAGAAAGTACAGCTATATAGCTTATGATAACCCATTCTAGGTATTCAGATAGTGAGAAGTAGACCATTAAAATAAGCAGGTTTTTTTTTAGTTTTGTTCTCTTTGCACTTTCCACAATACCTGAATGTCTGGCACAGGCATAAACTACTGTTTTTAAACCTTCCCCCCAACTTATAAGCCCCCCAGTTATAGGCCCTGATTTACCAGTGAACAAGAAAAAATGTCCCCCTGGTTGTAAGCCCTCCCCTAAAAAAAAAAACCCTTCAAACCCCTTACAAAGATGTGTAACCCATGAGCTCATAAGTGGTACTTAAACAGGTTTCTCTCTGGATGCATTTGCATAATTACCATCACTTCTAAACTAGTGTCTTGGGAAACACTTTTTATTAGTAACTGGTAATCAAAAGTACATATAACTGTTTATACCCCTATAACAGAGGTGACAAGAGCTCACCTATACTGTGAAAGTTACAAAACCATGAATACCAAAAATTATTTAGGAATGCTATTGCGTTGCAAAGAAAAAGCTAATAAGGGGTGAGAAAACAAAACCTCAAACAGCAATGGTAATTACTTTGTGGTTTTGAGGTTTGGTCGTGCATGTGTACTGAACATTATGGTGATTGGTCACTACACAATCAACATTTTTAAGTTAATGATTTTCTGAGTCTGACAGCAAAATTATTGAAAACTCTCTCTTCGAGGTACTGTCTGATGATGATTTTTAGTTAGGAGATGATACCTGAAATCTTTAGGGAGGATAAACCCTTTTAGCAGAACAGTGAATGGCCCATAAACACCAAATGACCCAGACGTTTTATGATTAGGGTTAGGAAATTGGGGTTCAAGTTCTGAACTGGAATTTGATTCACTCAGTACTGTATCAAGTTGCCATGCATGGAAGCCCATGGAACCAGTCCATGGAGGTGTATTAGACAGTCAGTTCTCCTGGACAAACCTTGTAATATATATTTTTAACCCTGGGTCGGTAAAATGATTAATATTGATTTGTTTCGACGTAAATCCTTCGGTTGTCTAACACGTGTTGTACACAAAAGCTCATGGACAATATTAAAACCACGACATGCGACACCATAAAATGAAATAAACATAGGAAAACATACAAATGAAACATATATTTTACTCTCCTAACACAACACATGAATGGTTTCATTTCAAAAAGCGTTTTAAAGTAAGATAGCTGTTGCAGGACATGGAAAAAGATACCTTTTTAGATTGACTTTTTCCCGCATTTATCGATCTTCGCGCTATTGCTTTCCCAGTGTTTGTTCGCCAAACGGATTGAAAAAAAAAACTCACATAACTCAGACGATAGTTTGCCGATTAATTGTCTCAGTTCTGTAAACCAACAGTGTGTTCAGCCAGTTTCTGTTACTGTCTTCTTCAAATTCTCCAAATTATCAGTGAATCCAAGTTGAGTGAAGTGGTGCATTTTCAAAACATCCCAAAGAAGCCACTCTCTGGAGAGAGCTCAGGAACTAAAATTTTTCCCCCAGTGGAGCGATGAGGGACAAAAATCGTTATGAGCATGAGCAGTGATATTTGTAACTTCTGCACATGCGCGACCGGATGTCAGAAATTTTCTGACATCCGGTAACGGCTGCGTCCAGAGCCCCTCGTTTTCCTACCACGTGACCAAGAAACGACGGGCTCTGGGGACGAGAATGAGCAATGTCAAGTTCGCGGACAGCGAAGTAAGAATGGCTTCTCGATTCGCTTCATCGACCCAGCAAGAAATTGAGAAATTACTTGAAGATAAAGTATAATAAAACAATTATTAGATTCGGTTTTTGTGAAATCAGCCTCAGCCTTCGGCTTCGACTGATAACACTTACCTCGACCTTGATTATTCCGGATATCACAAAAACCTCATCCAATAATTGTTTATAAGCGGCCAACCTCTATCATGTGTCCAGGAAGTAATCAAAGTCCGCAATTAATAATTGTAACAGCCAACTCCAGCAAGCAGCCCGGCGTGGCTAGCTTTGGTCATCCCGACGAGAGTTCTCTGACCCGTAATTTATTGTCAACTCTAATAAGCTGCCATGACGCCCTTCATATATTTAGTTTGGGTCAGTAATTTCTAAAAAGTACGATGAATGAAAAAACAGTCCGAGATAGAACGTGAAGGCTAATTGTGGACCAGTAACACCGCAACCGGCGCGCGAGTGTTTCAAAATGATTGATGTTTTTGCTTCAGATAAATACTAAATAATGATCTCTTTAGAGGCAATAAGCGGCCTACTTGCCGATGCTTACTTTTGGGCTGTCCAGCAATTGAAGTACAGCGGAACCCGCTCTGATACCCGCATATTATAATTAATACGGACACCCGTGTATGACGGAGAGTCTCGTCTATTCGGACCTCAATCATATGTCTTTTTTTTTTTCTGAAATTAACACTCTCAAAACAGACTAGAGACACGTTGTCAAATCTTCCGTAATAGACAAATACCTCCCTGTGAAAAAGATAAGAGTAAGAAAGAATGATATCCTCTAATATGAATGAGAATGGAAAGCAGCGATAAGAAAGAAAAGAAAGTTAGGGAAGAAATTCAGCAAGGATCGAACTACAGAGTCATGGAAACTTATGAAAACATGGAGAAACCGGGCCAAACGACTGAGAAGGAAGGCGATCAAAGATCACTGGAATGGTGTGAATCCGAAGCAACAAATTCTTTTGAACTTTTATTCCCTTTAGCAACTCAAAGTGTGCTAAAGAAAGGGATTCGGCTGATATTTCCTTAAACCTCTAAGGACAGCTTCAACAGAACAAGCAGATTGTTGCATAGGACTTCACTTGCTACTTTTCAACAGTCGCACACAATATTGGGGGAATGCAGGTGGCTTGTTTGAAGAAAAACTGAAGAAAACTGTTACACATCCTGGAATGAGTACGATCAGAACCAGACAAATGCTAAATACGTTTAACTTCAGGAGCATTAGCAGAGAAAAAGTCATGGACGCCCTTCGTCGTATTAATCCTTATAAAGCAACAGGGTTTGACGGGTTGTCCCCTAGAATGCTTAAAATAAGCTAGTAGCAGATGTTATAGCAGCATCTCTAACGGTGATATTTAACTAAGTGATTCCGGAGGGAGAATTTCCTATAAGGAGTGGAAAAAAATCGGTATGGGTACCAGTGTACAAGAAAAGGAGGATTCGCAAAATGTAGCCAATCACAGACCAGTAACTCTATTACCGGCAATAGACATGATCTTTGAGCAATTGCTTTGCAACCAACTGAGGGATAAGTTCGAAAATATCTTCAACAATTCGTTGTCAGCATATCGGAAGCATTACAGTTGCGAACAAATTTTGATACGAGTGGTTGAGGACTGGAAATGTGAGAGGGATATAGACGAGACTGTAGCCATTCTGTCAACTAAGATGAGTAAAGTCTTCAACTCCATGCACCCGAAACTGAAAGCTTAGGACTTTTCCGAAAGTGCATTAAATTTAATGAAATCCTATTTCGGCAAAAGAGAGAACAGATTATTAGTAGGAATGGCGACTAGTAGTTGGAGGGAAATAAAGAGGTGTTGTCCTCAGGGATCCTCACTTGGGCCTATGGAATATCTACCAGAATGATCTGTTTTATCTATCGGTGACAGCCATTTATCAGTATATGCAGACGACCATCAGCTTTACTTCGCAAATAAAGACCCTGACCAGGCGGTAATGGTGAAACCATACCCTTCATTATCTATCGGGCCTTTACGAGAAGGCTCCCACGCCCAAAAGGGGTACCTCTTACTGGCTTCAGCTAAATATGAAGGGTAGGGTTTAATTAATCGAGGTATATGAAATAGTAGGGGAATCGATCTTTCATTTCGGTCGGTTAAAAGGCCCAAAAGGGTTAACGTGTGCATTTTCTGACCGTGAACAGGTCGAGGAAACGTTCCGCTCTTGTGATTAATTCTTATTTAACAGGTAGTGAATTGACAGCATCTAAAGGGGAAGCAAAGTTCTAAACTACTAATAAAACCAGATATGGGACTAAAAAGGGGCACTGACCATTTGTCAATAGAAGGTGTACGAAAGGGGTACCGTTTCTGTTAAAAATAGTATACAGTATATTAAAGGCTGGTAAGACGTTGGACCTGGGGATGGTGCTCGGCCCTGTACAAGACTTTGTTAAGTACCCCCTCCCCCCCGGGGGGATAGATGAATGTGGAATGGTAAACCACTGAAATGAAACAGCACGCGGACGCCATTATGGGTAACCGAGGTAGTTATGCACACGCATTGAGTCCAGTGGAAAGAGACCTGGGTCACACAAATTATGATTGTACGACGAATTATAAAAAAAATTATGCTAGCAAAATCTATCAAAGCCTTGGGCCAAGGCCGAAGACCGAGGTGGATAAATGCCTCCAGGATCTGCATAATTCTTCACATCATACCAAAGCCGGTTTCAATGATTCGTTTATTATTGATTCAAAATATTTCTAAGTTCTTAACAAAGCTTACCCACTCGTAGACTTAAATTAAAAGTAGTCTCCTTCAAGCAATATGATTCGCGTATTCTTTTATTTATTCTTCCTTTCAGTTAAAGTTGAAAATTTAGCTGTTTCGTCTTCGGATAGCCGAGAACCCCATTTTTTGGTTTACCTTTGCCCAAGCAGCCTCGTTTCCTGGTAAATATACCATCGATTAACCTCATGGTTTCCAATCAAATATAACAGCGAATCGATAAACGTATATTTCTCGCATATTCCAAATATGGTAGGCGGCGAAATATTTAGATGAATATACTTAATATCACATTGATTTTTTTTTTTTTTTTTTTTCAGTTTACTATTAATCTACCCGATGCGATTTTTGTTCTTGTGGGTTGTCGCTGTTTCTGGGTCGTCTTGTTTTTTACTTGGCGTCTCGTTGAATAAAAACGCAAAAAAGAAGTTGGCCAATACCCAGCCATCTTGACTTCACGCTTGGTCAATTAAAAATACAATTAGTACTTGTAGTATTTACTTGTAGTATTAGTACTTTTAGTATAAATAGTACTTTGAAGTATTTAATGCTATGTAAAAACAGCATAATAAAATACCGAATTTGCTTGGTTCCCCTTTTTTCTTGAGCCTCACTATCCTTTTTTGTTGTTGTCGTTGTTTTTTTTTTTTTTTTTTTTTTTTTTTTTGTTTTTTGTTTGGTTTTTTTTTTTTTTTTTTTTTTTTATCGGAAGGGGTTCGTTTGGGGGAAGAGTGTAGTTTTTGGTGGGGGCCGTATTATAAAAAAAAAAATATAAAAACGACAAAAAAGAAGTGGGCAAATCCCCACCATTTTTGACTTACGTTTTGTCAAATTAAAAAAAAAATTGTTTCTTTTATTTTTTATTTTTATTTTTATTTTTTTTATTTAAAAAATTCTTTTTATTTTTTTATTCTTTTTTAAAAAAACCAAAAAAAATTCCCAATTTTCTTTGTTCCCCTTTTTTTTTTGACCTTATTTTCCTTTTTTTTTTTTTTTGTTTTTTTTTTTTTTTTTTTTTGTTTTGTTTCGTTTATGTTTGGTTTTGTTTTTGTTTTTTTTCTTTTTTACAGGCAGAAATCATCAGATCAGAATAAGGACTATGAAGGACGCGTCGTAAAAATAAATACAAGCTTTCTGAACGATGGGTTATTAAGTTTCTGCAATAATCTAAGCGCACCGGAATGGTGTTGTATTTTGTTGCAAAAGAATCAATTAACAGCAGTCCGCTGCTCTTCTCAAAAATATTACTTCTGCGAAAAATGTGAGTATACATAGTAATACGTTATATTATCATTGTTGTTATTATTTTTTTATTTCTTTAAATTTGTTCCATAATACAACAAAACAATCGAACTCAAACTTCCTTGGGACTAGGGTTTATAAATAATGGCAATGATGTAGAAATCTACCATTTTGATGGTTTGTGCCTTTCTTAGGATATGAGATCCCAAGAAGCGTGGTCTTCTAAATTTCTTGAATTTTGACGCAATTACTTGCGATATTAACGGAGCTCGTATTTCTTAAGCTCTTTGTTTATAGTCCTAGAGCTCCAGTTACCCCTGGTATTGTTTCTGCTTTAATTTCCCCAAAGTCCTTTCATTCCATTTTATTTCAAGGTCGTTGTATATATTTCTATAGTTTCAGTTGGGATATATGTGTCAATAAGTAGGCAACTATTTTCTGTTTTTCGCTTAGCGACGATGTCTGATCTTTTGGCCCTGACGCTACGATCCATCTGTGTTGGCGTTTCCCACAAGATTGTGATGTCCTTTTTCTTTCTGTTTCTGTTTATATTCAACAAAGAGAACGAGGGAAGAGGGGGGTGCCGTGTGCTCCCACAGGTACCCCGGGCTCTGTGATAGTACCACAGTGAAAATCCTTTAAAATTAGCCAAGGGTGTCTGTATGGGTTACGATCCCAAAATTGTTAGAAAATACTAATACTTAGTACTTGTCTAACTACTTGGCAGTTAGTTTTTGTTGCCCTTAATGCCCACGCAAAGTTCCGTTGTAATAATATACTCAAATTCTCTCTCCATACAATAAGACTGACAAGACGCTGAGGGAGAGTATAATTAGGGGCACAAATGATTCCATCCTCGTAAAAATACACTGCTGATTCACTTGTCTTTGCTTTACCTGAAGGTTACTTGAGACACGCAAATTACGTCACAGGTAGCTCTGGGAAAAAAAATATATGCGTCTATGCGGTATTATTGGGTAAACTTCCATATTAAAATAAGCAAACACTGGATGAGATAAATCTGCTCGGAGACCAAACAAACAAGAAAAAGCACATAACTGACGTAACAGAAGCCGTTTTTGATTAAATCTCGTCAAGTCATATACGTAAATCGCAGAAGCAATCGCTGTTTCCCCAAAATCCTTAAGTTTCGAGGTTTACGCAACAGTGCCGACGATCATAATTCGAGCTTGGGCCACCTAGAATGAATATTAAATCAGCCAAAGTTATAGCGAATGGACGACTTGCACTTTTTTCTCGGAATTCCTAACATAAACTTAAAATTAACGGACGAATACTAAGAAATGTTATAGCCTGCAAACAAGCTCTCCATTTTGATTGGCGAACGGAGCCGGGCAAGCAGCGAAAGAACGAATGAGCGAGGGGCGAGGAAAAGGGGAGGGCTGTCCCTTTCTTTTTCCTCCGTTGTTGAGTCTTCATTTGCGAAATGAATTCTCTCGGTTACCACCTTTGCCATCAATGCAAAATTGTGGCAAATTTGACGCTAAGTACGTCTTCTGGCAAAATTGAGCAAATGTAGCACTTGCCGATGGTTTGCTCCAAATTTGCTATGCAGGCAAATTCGTTTTTTCGTCCAGCAGAGCCCCCAAATAGACAGTCTGCTCGCAGGAAGTAAATGTTACAAGGAGACGATTGCATCATTATAATTCATATCAAAAGGTATTCATGTGCGACTTTATGTAGTCATAATTTAGTGAAAATCAGGGGGGGGGGGGGGGCGTGTGGGTACACGGACTAGACCTCACAGCTTCGAGGCGCCCCTTGACCCCCATCTTATAAATTCATTCTACTTTCGCAGGGNTTTCCCTTTCTTCTAGTCTTGCGTTTGTCACTACATGCGGTTTAAAACGCTAAGAACGGGACCAGTGAACATTGATCGTAGACATTCATTGTTCCTCGATGCTGGACCTTTTGACCTACTTCACCTCTGACTCTCTTAAACGGGCTATGTCAGCTGGAGAGCATGTGCTCTGAGCTTATGCAAATTACTTTCAACTGCCAAAATTCTACTGTTTTTAACGCGTGAGTTTCTCCATGTGCGCTCTGAGGTTATGCAAATTACTTTCAACTGTCAAAATTCTATTGTTTTTAACGCGTGACCTTCTCCATGTTCTCTGTCACAACCAAGG